CAGTCAGCATGCAGGAAACTACTCCTGTGGTATCAAAACTCCTCAAAACACCACCTCTCGTGAAAAAACTCTCGCTGTCCAAAGTAAAAAACCAAACTGGACACCAGCAGCAGCTGCAGGAGTCTGTGCGGCTCTCTTGCTTTTAATACCCCTCTCTGTCTTCTGGTGGATTAGGTGAGCAACACTGTTCTCTGTTTCATAGCAATAATATTCAAATCTTAATATAACATCACTAATTCACTCAAATATTCATTGATTTTATAAAACAGAAAAAACAGGGCTTCCAGTCACTCTCCAAGAACTGAAACATCAGACAACATGGAACAGGTAAAAAACTGATTTATTTCACAATTCTGCTACATCAAAGATCACTGTCTTATATCTTGCTTTTCTTCAAAAGGAATGATCATGTCTTCACAGTCAGGATGGCTCCTTAAACTTCCTCCTCTTATCTTTTTTTCTCTCATTTGAATCATTCCTTTCTGCACCTGGTCCTGTTTCTAACTGTTTTACGCTTTCTCTGACGTTCTCATTTGTTAAATTAACTTTTTTTCTCCCGCCTAAGTGTCACTAAAGCCACATAAATCAGATCAGCCTTTTGTTATTTATTGCATATCAACCAGTTGTGATGTTCATCATTAATAGGACAGAAAATTTTCCAGGATTTGAACTATGTCAAAAACTCCGTATAACCTGCAACTAAGGATTACTTTCTTTGCACTGTTTTATTGAGCCAATAGATCTATACTTCCTCTAACATATCTTATGGGGTAACATGCTCCATACATTTGCAAAATATACCTAAAAAGGCTTTCAAAAACCTTTAACAACTGAGCTCTAGTTTCATTTTATAATGTTCTTATTGGAGAATCAGCCAAACTTCTGCTTGCAATATAATATAAAGTAATTTTATTTGTCTTGCCTCCTCAGCTAAACCCTGGTTCCATGTATGAAAACATCTCAGGTCAATCAAGAGAGCTGGATGACAACCCCTATAGCAGACTCCACTTCTCTAAGGACCACACAGATGCTCTCTACTCCACCATCGAGCCAGTGTCTTCTAACTAAATCAAACTTTGTTGCCGTGGTATTTTGCAAGGGACCCTCCCCTGATAGTCGTAGTGACTGTAACCTTCTGTATTTATAATTCATAAGTATCTATTAGGTGCAATTATTCAACTACCCCAATATTCTGTGCAATTATTCAACTGCAATATTTCTCAGTATAGGACTTTATCATGCACGTAACTGTTACTTTTATTCTATTCTTCTTTATTTTATTGATGTATATATTGTAGTTAAATTTCACACTTAGAGCCTCAGCACAGTGACAATATATATTTTATTTTTAATATTTTTAAATCTTAAGTACTAGTGTTAAACATTGTGGCATAATGAACATTCTATTTTTTTTTTTTTTATTTTAATGTACATTTTTATTTCCATATTACTGTATTGCTTTATATTTACATACTGCTATTTCATACTCTTATTTTTACTTCTTATAATTCTCTATTCTATATATCAGAGCGACTGTAACAAATCACAATTTCCCCTCAGGGATTAATAAAGTGTTTCTGATTCTGATTCTGGACAACGTCAATATCACAGCATCGACAGGCAAGGGTAAAGCTGAGTGCAAACTGAGTGATCTGCCAGACTTAACACACTTCAAGGCTTCTAACCTCCAGCAGCTTTTCAGTTTACTCCACTGATATGGACCACAAGTTTCCCAAAAGTACTGAGCATCTCAAACAGAAGCATGCCATTAAACTACAGCTCTTTACCACACTTCCTCAAATATGAGGTGCAATGCATTTTGCCTGTGTGGAGGATGCATGTGGACCAGCAGAATGAAGAGCTATAAATAAGCACGCAACACTGTCTGAAAACTCTGAAGAATGTCCCTCAATCACCAATGTCAGTCTAAGTTGTTTTTTTTAATCATTTGTTCTTGAGAAAGATCATTGGAAAAGTCTACGTCAGATTCATTATGTGTTCTTAAACCACACAGTTGTTCACACCAGTGGTCTAATAATAATGAATCACCTTTTATGGTAAACTGAAAGCATGTGTCAGCTGATCCTAATTAGCATAGTTAAATGCCCATAAAATGACATGGGACTGCAGGGCTGTGTGCACACAAAGAAAAGGAAGAAGAAGAACAGTTAAGAGAATTAAGTCAAGAATGCCCAAAAGTCTAAAAAGGCTGGAGCACCAGACTTATGTACATATATATACAGTATACTAGGGATGTAACGATACCAGAAACTCACGATACGATATTATCACGGTAAAGAGTCCACGATACGATATATATCATGATATTTATACAAGGGGAAAAAAAGAGAAAATTTATTGTTAAAAATAGCTATTTTATTCAAAAATAGTGCATGTACACTGTACAGCATGTTATTTTTAACTTGGAAGCGTATCATAAACAAATCAACACACAGTTCAACATGTGCTTTCATTTCCCCCCTATTACTGCTAGGCAGGCAGACATTAAAGTGCCATAACAAAGTCATGTCAATTATATTAACTATAGTGACAGAATATGAAAACGGAAACATTCAGTATTTTTTAACCTACTCTGAACAAAAGTAGTGTAGTACTATTAATAGATAGTCATCTGAATGACATCAAATTATGAGGATAGAGTAGTCTATAATCTATATTCATCAAATAAACAGAATTTAGAACAATCAGACCATGCAACAACAACAAAATTAACAAATTAGAAATAATGTAAACTCAATAACACACAACCCCTCACTCACAGATACACAGAGAGACACAGAGAGAGAGAGACAGAGCAAGAGAGAGAGGTGGGTAGAAATGTGTGTGAAAGAAAACCAAAATAAATAAAGCCCAGCCATTTCCCTGGAAGTCATAGAAAAACTCAAAAACACACATTCACTCAGTTTGTTCACGCCAGGTTGACAATCTTGACATCAAGGAGACCCTAACACTTTCTCAGAACAGGAGATGAGGAGAGGAAAGCTCTGGTCCTGCGCTTTCATGTGATATGCGTGGCATTTCTGTGCGACCCTACATTCGCGAGTAATCCATCCAAAAGTAATGTGTGTGCAAAGCTGTATGAAAGCTTTGTTATACATTATTTTAGTGTAACTTTATCATTTTTTTTTTCGCTGTGAAAACATTGGACTACCGACAAGTGCTTGGTCTTGTCGGAAAGCCATGATTCCGCTGTTTCACGTGATATGCGTGGCTTCTCGCTATGACACACAGTCGCGGAGAAAATCTGGTCTCACCTGCGAGCGCAGTAGCATGCAAAGTATTATGGGGAATGTAGTCGCACAGTCATATTACCGGCTCTGTAGGAGAACGCAGCTATATAACTACCGTGGCATTCCCACGACGGTATCGAGAATTTATTTTATCATGACACTGCGAAATTCGATATATCGTTACATGCCTACAGTATACACATACAAAATATGCATTAATCAACCACCCGTCCCGCAAACTGTCAACTTTATATTAGCACAGTTGTCAGGACCGCGGACAAAGATGAGCACTCATCAATGCAATGTCTCTGGAAGTTATTAATAAGTTTCTCAGAACGCTGCCTTGTAACTGTGTGTCCCACCCACTGAATCGTCCATGATATCTAGCACGATCAGTCACTAATTATAAGATGGCATGGTTCCCATTAAAATAAGTGATGGGACTTACAGTGTTAGTCTAATGTTATTTTTAAAAGACCATAGCTCTTCTTGAAAAGTAATAATGAAAATAATGATGAAAAAATACTAATTATAAAAATATTATTGTAATTAATATCCTATAATATACAACTGTAGAACTGAAGAACATGCAATCACCAATAATCATTTTTGCACAAACGTGTCAGCACAAATTGTGCGTAAGTGTTGTCTTGATATTTGTAGATTCTGTTTTTACCTAAAAACAAATCCCAAATAAGAAAGCATTGATGAATGTCAGAATCTTTGTGAACACTGCAGGTTTTAGGAAGACATTTCTTCTAAAGAATTGTTGGTGAATGCAGCTCAGTGTTTTGCAAACAGATTCCACTTTTTACACACAAGAAGGCCACAGATCAGGTCCTTTTGACCTTTTAATTGCTGAATTGGACAGTTTGAATGCCCCAGCAGGTGAATTAGTGTCTCAAAAACGTTAACATCTTAGAATTTCACAAGACTGTGTAAATAAATCATGTTGCATTAATCTGTCTTTATTAATCTCTCTGGTTGTAACAGAACACAAGCCAGAATTTAAAAGTGACTGTGGAAACATGCAAACAGTACACACACACACACACACACACACACACATACACAAGCGGATAGAGCTGTGGTTTTGTTTGTGTGTGTGCGAGTGCATTTTGTGACGATGTGTCCGACTGGTTTGCTACATCTAATTTACAGTACAGATACAGTAACAGCTTGTTAAAGCAGCTCATCAAAGCACTTTGTCAATGTTGTTTTACTTTCTGGATGATTTTCAGCTGTGACTGTAAAAAGAAATTGTTAGACAGATTTTACTGCCAAAAATATATGTTGCTCTGCATGTGAAAAGACCACAGACATTGTGTCTGCAGCTTCCTGTCTGCAGTTTTTTCCCACCAAAAAATAACCACAATCAGCTTAACACTTCTCTGCTCTCACACCAGCAATTTAAACAACATTTTGATTAACATATAATGCAATTTACTAATGACAGATTTTAATGACTGCAATACATAGATTCCTCACTAGAGGGATTTTTTTTTTTTTTAAATTAAGAATAACAATGAGGAAGGAAGTGACTTTTAAGTGTCAGAGCTGCAGTTTGTCTGCCAGCCGTGCTTACACTGATCAACAGTCAATTTCTTTGTATGAAGACTGCCGCTGATTTCAGCCATTTATTCATGTTTTCATAAAGGTAGTAGTTGTAATAAAGCCATTAAATTATATCATCAACATTCTGATTGGAGGCTGAAGACTTCAACAGCCATGTTTTTGGCAGAAGCTGGATGTGTGTTTATGGCTTTTATCCTGTGCGTCTCAGGTATGAATGACTGTTTCTTATTTCTTATACAATGCTGATTAACTGTTGACTGTAAATAAAAATAATGTTTAAAAGTGTGCAGTAGATGTTAATTTGGAGGGAAAATACAGGAAACTGCAGGTTGATTTATAAATAAAAAAAGTTGATTGAATGTTAGCTTGTAATGATTTCCACTTATTCTGCTACAAGCTCTTTAGATGTGCTGCAGTGTATCAGTATGATCCTTTCCAATATCATACCATCATCACTAACCTGTTAGTATAGAGAAGAAAGTTATGAGAGAGAATAAATACTTCCAGATGTTTGCTGATCAAAGTTTTTGTTAAAGGGATTGAGGGACGACAAAAAAACATCTGTGCCTTAAAAGGTTCGTCAGTGGATCTGCCCTGCTCAGCTGAACGTCCCACCTCAAGCATGAAATGGTACACTGTGTACAGGGATAGATCTCAGTTAGTTCCAAAGGAGATCTCACCAGATGAAAATCATGTAACGAACAACATGTTGGAAGAGAGAAACTTCACTCTGACGATCAAAAATCTGACAGAAAGTGATGCAAAGGTTTACTGCTGCAAAGAAACTACTGACACACCAGACAACTGCAAGCAAAGTGAAATTCAGCTCCATGTGGCAGGTACAGTGGTTGTCAATAATAAATTACTCAAAGAATGACAACAGTATATTAATTCTTATTTTATACATCATCATCTCAGACCTGCAGGTGAAGGTGATTCCCACCACAGAGGGACCGACAGTAACACTGATATGCAACACCAGCTGTCCTCTGACTGAAAACCCTGCAGTCTACATCTGGTACAAGAACAGAGAGTTCCTCTATCAGGACTGGTCTCCCTGGTACCACCAGCTGGTCAGCAGTGAGGAAGTAGTCACATATTCTTGTGCTATCAAAGGCTACGAGCATCTCAGAGCTCCTGAAGTCTCAGTGGGTGAGTGACAACGGTTACTTGCTTCTAATGATATGATCAAACTTCTGGCTAAATGTGTAAATATGTATATTCACAAATCATTATTCAAGCACTGGGAAATTTAATTATAAGGATTATGAAATGCAGTAATTTATTAACTAACTTTACTGACACCAATTATTTTTGTCCAGATTCTGTCACATCGACCTGCTTTAATGTGACCTATGCTAAAGGGGCAATGTGTTCTCATAAGCAGTCATCAGTGGATGAGCCATGCTCCATCACATATCCAACAGGTTAAACATCCACAAAACACAAACACACCTCTCATCCTTTTGACATAATTGTTCCTATAAGATTTAATTTGCAATAGACAATTCATTTATTTTGATCATATCTTTGCTTTTTTAATATTTTGTTACAAGCACAAAAACCATAGTCTTTCTTTCTGGTTTCATTGTGCTTTGAGTATATATCTAATAATTAATGTTTTAAAGTATATGCTGATATTTACTGATAACTCATAAAAACTGTATTTGTCATCTCCCAACAGAGGTACATATTCAAAAGACTCCTGCAGACAGACAGGACCATGTCACACTGACCTGTAACACCAGCTGTCCCCTGACTCCCATTATATGGTATAAGAGCAGACATTTACTTAGACAGTTTGAGAAACATCAGCATGTAGTTCCCAACAGCTCTGCTGAAAGCTTCTCCTGTGCTGTAAAAGGCCTCGAGGATCTGCGCTCTGCTGAAGTCTGTAAGTACAAACCAACTTATGGGCTGTTAGAACTTATGAAATAGGATATTTGTGTTAATGGTCTGAGAAATATGATGATTTTAATACTGATTCATCCTCACAGGACGTGTACAAAAAAACAGGCACATTAGAGTGTAATGTAGTTGCTGTGAAGTAGTAATCACAAATGATTACTATGATTTAATCTTTTTAGTCTGCAGTTTTTTGTCGCACTGATTTATGTATCTTGTTAAGTGTCTTTCAGTCTGTTATCGCTGGGATCTGCTGCTGACCACTAAACGTTGACATTGGTGTTTGTCTAGACACCATGCTTTATGATATGCAATAATATTACACAGTAACTATGTTCCATTGTGAATAGTAATTGTAAGTAATTGTTTGCTAGATCACAAACACTTTGTTCATTTTGTCAAAGGTTAATGAAATTTAATATAGATCCAATCAGGTTGTATCTTTTTGGCCACAAATTTAAACAGACTCCTACTAGTAATAGGTTCTGATGGAAAAAGTATTTTAGACATACAAGTTTGAGACTGGCAGGTCCTGATGTCTATCATTTATGTCTAATACAAAGCTAACATCTTCTTCCACACAGGAATCTTAGATTAAATATTATGTACAATGACTTTCAACATTACTTAAAATGTAACTGGCTCTTGTCTTTCATCAACATTTAAGGTGCTAAGGATACAAACTGCAGGACTGTAAATTATGTCAGCAGGACAATCTGCGCTCTGGATGGTTCTTCAGTGAACATTTCAAGTGAATATTCTAATTCTAACTCCTGGCTACAAAAGTCAAAATCATGGTATAAAGTAAAGAGAAGTGTGGAGGGTGAAGTTGAAAAGCCACTTAAGGCTGAAGATAGAGTGAAGTATAATGACAACATGAAGAATCATCACATCCTGGGAATCAATAACCTGAAGAAGAATGACTCAGCAGAATACAGATTCAAACTGCAGACAGACGATGGATGGAAACCTGGAGTGACTTTGGTTGTCACAGGTAATTCTTTAGATTAAATCTGTCATTTTTGTATTGTGAATTATTGACATCCACACCATGTACTACCAGCAGTTAACACACTGAAAGGTCAATTCATGCTTAATGAATTCTAAATGAGACTAGCTGCAGTCTACTGCTTCTTCTACTGTTTTCCTAAGGTTGGGATAGGTGGCTGGGAACACAAAACATGAGACTTCAACACTAAAGGGCTACAGTAGCTCAGTCCATAGGGACTTGGGTTGGGAACCGGAGGGTCGCCAGTTCAAGTCCCCGTCCGGACCAAAACATGGAGCGTGGACTGGGCACTGCCTATGTGCCCCTGAGCAAGGCATCGAACCCCCCAACCGCTCAGAGAGCCTGTCATGGGCAGCCCTCTCTGACATCTCATGCACTTAGTGCATGTATAGGTCCAGTTAGTGCATGTGTGTGTTCGGACCTGTGTGTAATTGACAACAGAGTAAAAAATTGAATTTACCCTCGAGGATTAATAAAGTATATTAAAAAAAATAAATAAATAAAGTTTACAGTTCATGTCCTGGTTATAAACACCTTCATGCTGTACGGTTAAGCATGACAGTGATCCTTCTTTAACCCTTGGTACTACAGTTTTAGTTGCCTACACAGAGAGCCCTGACATGCCAAGCCGACAGTCAGCCGTTGATCAATGTTTGTGTATCAGTGAGTGTCTGTTACCCTAGTTTTTGCAGTGTGTCCCACACTGGTAGCACTCGTCGGCCCTTGTCTGCTTTCTTTGGCTGATTCAGCATGTTGAGTCGCATCAGAGACGACGGAGTCCATCGATGAATGATATCACTCTGACTGGCAGTTCAGCTCAGCACATGCTAAGAGAAACTCAAGCAAGAAAAGCAAACAAATGGCCAAAATCAAGAGGGCATGAGATCAAAACAATCATGTTTTATTACCTAAGGTTATATTTTTAGTAGTCTCGCTCACCAGACTTTTCTCAAGAAAAGAAAGGTCTGGCTGGGCCGACTCTCACTTTAAGATTGGAGAAAAAAACCCTCCGGCTGCTTGTATTTCTTTCAACCAATCACAATCGTTCTGGGCGGTGCCACAGCAACGGTGCACTTGCAAAAACATTGCCGGGGGGAAACAGGTTTTGGTGTAACACGCCCACAAAAATATCGCCTACAGGATGCGAACCGTGGAAGAAAAATGGCTACATCCCCGCAAGATCAAACACCGCAAAAGTTAGTAAAGGACGTGTTGAAAACAGTTGAAAACTGCTACACAACCGGACGTGGCTGAGAGAGGCTGATCTATGCAGCGAACTTCAGCCCACTCAGACTACATTATTAGTCACTGAGCTTTTTGGCAGAAACAGTTCTTAACTGTTTTGTTTGCTGGCACACAGTAAATATCCTTTGTACTTCCAACATTGGGCTGTGTTGTTAAGTTGCTAACTGGATAACTAATGTTTTGAATCAGTCCTGTTGATCTCCCAGTTTCCCTTTCTGAAGGCGCAACACAGATTACCACCACCTGCTGGTCTGGAGAGTTATTTCCTCTCACGCAGGTGCAGAACATATGTGCTAGTTGGCCATTGGCTGTAGTCTCTGTGGTGTGTTCATGTGCAACTTTTTGGCTGAGACAGAGGCAATGAGAGACGATGCAATAGTCAGCCTTTGTCGCCATTAGTTCACTGATGTGTGTTTGGTGTGTCTGGGCCCTATAGTGCGTAACTTCTACAGGTCAGTAAATGTCTGTTTCACCCAAGCCACTACTAGAGGAGATGACACAATGTTGATTAAGCTGTTCGGCTACTCTAACATCTCGCGGTATTTTTCAATACATATCATTTTTAGTATGTGTGTAGACCGCCGACATTCCCGCGCTGGCGCACAGGAAATGCTTCCTCACAACAAGAAGGGAGGGGGAGGAAGAGCGGAGAGTGTCATAGCAAGAGGTAGAGCGCAGGTAGAAAGAGAAAGTAACAAAGAAGCGGCCGAGACACGGTTCAGAAGTGGATCTTACCACAAAGAAAAAGCCTGGACGTTCCGCTGAAGGTCTATTAGCAAAGAAGGAAAGTGACTGATGGAGAAGGCAAACAAGGATTTGCATTGGCGTCGCTTTTCCTCGGTGGAGAGCGCTGACGGAAGAAATTGGGCTGAGGGCAGACACGGATGTTGTCTTGCTGCTATTGGATAAGTAAGTGACTCGGTTTATAATTATATTATGAGTATTAACGTTATGTGTTGCTGTTACATGTACTGGACCTAGTACTTTATTATTTTCTTGGAAATGGTGCTATGAACGTTATGTAATGTTAGCAGCCTGGTGTTTGCCAAGTTGTGTAGCGTTGTGTACACGGTGTGAATCGAGTGTTACTTTGTGTACACGGTGTGTGGCTACTGGTGTTACTCTGTGTACGGTGTGTGGCGAGTGTTACTCTGTGTACAGAGTGTTACTCTGTGTACACAGTGTGAGGCGAGAGTTACTCTGTGTACAGAGTGTTACTCTGTGTACATGAAAGTGCCGGCTTATTTGTTGTAATAATGCTTTATCCGCTGGGAGGCGACAGAAGTTACACACTATAGCTTTAACACAGAGGTGGCAGACCAGAAAACACTTTTCATGAGTCTTTTTGCCTCTGTGGGTTGTTTTACTGACAAACAACTTATTTTTTGTTTAGGGAGGAGGACTTGGGAGATTACACATCTGTTCTTTATTTTCTGACCACTTAAACCATCTTTCAGGTCTGAAAGTAAAGTTTGTGCCTTCTGCAGTGGTGAGAGAGGACCAGAGAGTCACACTGACCTGCAGTACCAGCTGTCCCCTGCCTGACAACACAACCTACGTTTGGTTCCTCAACAGTCGACCTCTGACCCCGACAGAGAACCAAAACAAACACCTGGTTCTAGATCCAGTCAGCAGTCAGCATGCAGGAAACTACTCCTGTGCTGTTAAAACTCCTCAAAACACCACCTCTCATGAAAAAACTCTCACGGTCAAAAGTAAAACGGGAAAACTGACATCAGCAGCAGCTGCAGGAGTCTGTGCTGCTCTCCTGCTTTTAATACCCCTCACTGTCTTCTTGTGGATTAGGTGAGCGACACTGTCCTATTTCAGAGCAATGACATTCACACACCAACTTGGCTTCACCTATTAATGTTTATTTACTGATTTCATTAACCAGAAGAAGGAGGACTTCTAGTCAGTCTCCCAGAAATGAAACTTCAGACAACTTGGAGCAGGTAAAGAAAAGAATTTGTACACTTCTGCTATATTAGAAAAACATCACCATATCATTTCCTGCTTCTCTTCCATGCTGTGGACTACTTTTTTCTTAACTAAACACTTACTGTGATGACAGAGAAACACAATGTTGCACAAGTTTCATGGGTCCTATATTTTGCAATGTAAATCTTGTTCTACTGTGCTGCAGGAATGAATCCTAAAGCACGGAAAGGGGTTAGCATTTTAGCACCTCCGTTTCCCTTGTCTTGAATTCAGTCTTTTTATTTAATGGGTTTTTGGTTAGATACCTGAAATAAGGTCTGTGGTTCGAACAAGCTTGAGATGTTTTTACATTTTGTTCTGAAGTGCTCATGTGTCTTATAAAGGCAGTAGATAAAAGTTGGCTCAGTGAAAATTCAGAATGCCATCATGCCAAATACAATTTTACAGCCTAGGTGTGGTGGTGACTTTGAAGTTATGCACTGTGGTGTAGTTTGTTTATAGCCTGACCTTCACTTTTTACTTCTAACAACTGCATTTACACTTCAAAATGATCATAAAAGTGGTGTTCATTTCTGGAGATTATTTGCTGAAGAAAAAACATGTAGGCCTTGTTTGCCACCAAGCTTTTTATCTGCAATAACCCAAAATCCAATGAAAAATCCCACTGGTTTTTTGACAGGTGAACCAGGGTGATGTTAACTTCTGGGTCGTCCTTTTAAAAGCCTTTGTAGAATATTACATAATCATGTTGTTCACCACACATAAAAATACTATTTGAGATTGTGATTCTGTAAAAGCTGCCACACAATTAGGTTTTGTCTGCACTATTTTTTTTTGTTGCAATAAATATATTCTTGATTAACTCTTTTAAAGTATCCAAGACCTACTCCAGACAGCTATTTCAGAAGCTGTAATGCTGTGCTAACCCTACAACTGAGCTCGAGTGGGAATCATTTATACTGCTAATATGATCTCTCTTGTCTCTTTATAAGCTGAACCCTGATCCGCTGTATGGCAACGTCTCAGCTCAAACAACAGAGCAGGATGAACTTCACTACAGCAGCGTCCACTTCTCTCAGAACCACAGAGATCCTCTTTACTCCACAGTCCAGCCACATCCCCCTCACAAAGAAGAGCACGTCCCCTATGCTGTTGTCAACTTCAGACGAAACATGACCCCTGAGTATGCATTTCTTGCTATTACAACTGATTCATGTTCTGCTCTACACTGTAATAATTATGTAGCTTATTACAGATTGGGCTACATGATATCTTTGAACCTACTAGTCCTATTTTAATAAAATATTGTTTACATTTATATTACATTTTTTTACATACATTTCCATCTTGGGATAACGATCCATGGACAAAATTCATGGCTACTTACACCCATTGTCACATCGCTAATCTGACTTGCATGAGACATTTAGGGGTGTAAAAATGGTTTACAGATTTCCCAAGAATATCATTTTAAGTGTTATTGTGTAACTGCCTCAACTGGGAAAATTACTTTTCTTAATTATACATTTAAAATACTTTGCCAAATGTTTAATCCACAGTATGTTAATGCATTCTTTCCTTTACTCTCAGGCATGACGGCCAGGCAGTGGATACCTAGAATTTGTACAACACAACAAACAGAATATAACAACACACTCCCCTCTGTGCAGAACTTGGAAATTATTCTGTTGATCATCTCTGGAATGCGTTTACGTCTGGGGGCCTCGGCTGATGACCTCATCTACACCAGCTTACTGGGAATGAGCAGGCAGACATCCAGCATCTTATGGACACCTCAGAGGCATGCAGAGTGCTGATTGGACTCCAGCTGTGTCTTCTAGGAAGTGAAACCAGGACTTCTTAGTACTCTGATAAACCCATGGTCATGTCTGTTTAACTACAGTCATGACTTGCTGAACAGACTTTCAATGTGTGATACTTTCCAACATACATGGAACCCTTCAACAAAATTAGTATTTCTGTGAAACTTAAGAGAATGTAAATTAATCAAAGTTGCAACAAAAAGCTCTCCTGTACTATATAGATATTATCCAGCACAACACCTGCATAATTCTCGTTCTCGTTCACGGCTGAAACATATTCCTGAGGAGCTTTTTGCCATGTTTAGTCAGTACAGTCCTTTACAGGACAAGCCATTCAAACTTACCAAGCTAACATTAGTTAATGTCTTGAAAATTAGCACTGAATTGAAAACCACTAAAAGTGTTTTGGCAAAGTGACAGCAAAAACTGGCTCTCCAAATTGTTATGTGCTGTTTTATGTGTTTAAGTGTGTCCAACGTCTGTATTTCTTTGCTAGCTAGTTAGATGTAGCATAGCTGCTGACTAAGCTAACTTCGGTTGTGTTGCTAGGCAACCAAAGCAACTTAATGGTTGGTTTGTGAAGACTTGCTAGCAAACACGTATGCTAACGCTAACTATGTCTTTCTATTAAATTAAATTAAAAACCTTACGTTACTGTTTTATGTTAACACGTACAGTCTGTGGATAACAAACTCAAAGTTACAGAAAACTAACGTTAACTGGTTATGAAATACTCACCCAACAGAAAAAAAAGTTAACTGCCGTTGTTAACTGCTAACCCTGCTAACGTTATCCGCCGAGGATGACGTTTTTCTTTAAACCGACGCGGCCGTTAGCTTCGCCCCGGTTCCCTGTGGGATTTTCCATTGGGTTTTGAATTCAAACAGACGTTTATGAAACTTACACGTCTTGTGTAGCAATATAACATTTTCAAATGAAACCTACTTACATGATTATTAAAGTCTGAATGCATTAGCCAGAAATAAAAGGCTACCGTTAGGCTAAAAACGAACTACACTACGGTCGCGTGATGTAACGTTTCCAAGGCCGTGTTCAACGCAGCTCGGCGTGATGACGTTCTGTAGTCTTATTTAGCCGCTTGTTAGTAACCGCTATTTTTAAGGCACATAGACTTCAAAATTCACAGTGGGGTATTAATAGAGAATAAAACGTGAAAATTCTTAAAGCTTGTGTTATTTGCAGACCTTTTTGAGGCTCATAATCAAGAACCCATTCAAAAAACCCAATGACTTTGAGACAAGGGAACAAAGGGCTCTAAATGCTAACTCATTTCCGGGTGGACGGTCGGACTCTATTAGCATTAGCTAAAAATAAATAAAAATTAGCATTAGCTAGCTAATTAATTAGTCGTCTTGAATCTGGAAATGTTGGTTTATTCTTTTTTCCTTTCGTTTTGATCTTAAGAGGAATAACATAATTTTCGTACCTGTGCTACAACAGTGGCCACTTCTTTTTTTTATTATTATTGGCTAAACTTTAACTTTATTGTCATTACACGGAGTACAGGTACTGAGCAGTTTTTATGCTTTATTTGCTTAATTTTTTCTTAAGTCTAGTGTGTAATATTTAACCATATAAAGCACAGGTTCATTCACATATTTGCCATATAGGTTTGCCTTTTGCAATATTTTAGAAAAATGTTTATCTGACCACAACTGACATGAAAAGCATATTAATTGTTTTATTCTATGTATAACATCTAAAACAAAGTGTTAGCTGTTAGCTACCATGATTCCTTGAGATACAAGTGTGTTTTAAGTTTTGGTAGAGGGTTGAACTTTTTCACAATTGGATAATGGACTGTACTTTTAAATAAAGTTGACTCAGTTGTCTATTGCTTGTTCTCTGGATTGTTTAACTGCCACATTGATTAATTGATAAGTCATCAGACCTAGGTTGAAATGAATGACAAGCCAGATATTCAAAAAAGAGTGAGATTGAAGAAGAAACATGTCACAGACACAATTCAAGTCCGTATTAATATATTTTTATTACCATACGAGTATACACTTCAGTAATTAATCCAAATACAAAAAACAGGAAATTATTTGTAACTTATACTTTATGTTGTGCAAGTAGCTGTGGGTCTTCTGCTTCTTTGTCTTTCAAGTAAGTTAAAAAGTCTAGTCACAAGTCCAGTTGTAACAGTACATGTTAAATATGTGCTCAAGACACATATTTTTCCAGTTGACTGAGAGGTTGACTGAGAGGTTGCACAGTGTGTAAGTAAATTATCAGGGCGTGTGAGGTTAAATATTAAGTTAAAAGTCAGTATAAATAACTTACACAGTAAAGGCATAACATTGAGTTGTGGAGAAAAAAGAGGAATCAGTACAAATGTGGGTCCCAGATACGTAAGGCAGAACTGGTTCATTATTACCATTATCCAAACTGTGCTACAGTATACAGGGTGCCTTTGATCGTATGGCGTCATGGAAATGTCTGTGTGATGAGTGTCTTTTTTTAGCTTCTTGGGTGAGAAAAAGGAAAAAAGAAAAAGAGGAATGAGGAGTGTTCCAGTTTTATAACAGCCAATCACCACTGAATTCAAAATTGCCTTATTGGCTACCCAACAGTCAGCTAAGGGGGGAGGGCGATTGTTAACTCACAGGGTCACAGTTTGTGTGCTTCCTTTAGTTTTATATGGTTAATACTACTTCCTTCATCATTTCCTCTGTATTGTTGTTTGTACAAACATGAAACTTAATGAACCTTGATAGTGAGAAGGTCAGTGATAAGGTCACATAATGCTAGATAACGTGCCTTTCAGTAGGCTATATTAAGTCAGTTGTTTTTATGTGGTTTCATTAGTTTTCATTTGTCTGTCTTGATTCACACATTTGCTACCGCGCACTGACATTTCAGCGGAAATGTGAGAGTCACTGTCGTCTCTGAGAGTTTGAAAGAAAGACACACCAACACAGACGTTCCAGTCCTGAATCCGACAACATGGCTTGCTAATCTTTGTGCCCCATCCAAGCACTCTCGTCTTTGACTCCACTCTCGGGACTCTCCTTTGCTCTCATATTCTCCGTCTCTTCAGCTCTCACAGTCCAATCTTCGCAACCTCTCCTCGTGGTTTTCTTGTGCTTTCATTTGTCCAGTAGCACCTTTGCCAGGGACTGTAGCTTTTCCCTCTTCTCGTACAGATACATCTGCGTTTCCCACAACATGTCCACCAGGACTGCGTCACTCACCTCGTCCAGCATCACTTCCTGAGACAACTGGGGACTCAATCTGCACAAAAGACGATAAACAGTTTCACAGCACTTTAGAGGTAATGAAACAATATTTATTTATTTTGTTTTCAGTAGCATGTGAACAGGTTTGTTAAATGATTTTACTGGACTTGAAATTACTGCTGGGGGTTAAAAACTTGTCTGATGGCATGTGTTCTCTTCCTGTTGACTCTAAGGCTGTGAAGAAGTGTTGTCATATATCTATATCTACACAAATTACGACAACGAGGATCTGTCTGGTCTGTGCCATCGAACACAGCACACTGCAGCACTTGTCTCATTAAAGATAAAATGACTGCGTAAAACATGGCTCAGGAAGTGTGTCAAGTGTGTGTGATGAATGTGAGAGACAAAGAGAAGTGGGCAAAAGGGGATGGCGTGATAAAGATCAGAAAAATAGATGTGGGCATGTTGCATCAGAATGATGACAGGAAGCAGATGAAACAAGAAATGAGCAGAGCCCTATCGGCTGACCTGTGGTAGATGGTGTCGATCATTTCACACCAGGCTGCGGCTCTGTCTACTGCGCAGCCATCAGAGTCTGTACACTGTCCAGTCAGAGAGAGGGGGAGAATGTTTTACGATTAGAAACAAGAATACACTTTCCTGTGATAACAAACAGATTGAAGCAGGTGCTGTAGATGTACTCACACAGTCCACCAGCATCTTGCCCAGCTCCTTGGCTCCTACGAAGCTCTTGGCCAGCTCCAGAGGGTTGGAGGGTCGGAAAACATCCACAGAGCTCACCACCACCTGAGGAGGTTTACCTGGAGATACACAGGAGCACCAATATAATACAAGTGTTCAAACAGGAAGAGTTTTGTCAGTTTAGTTATTTACAATGTGCTGTGTAACTTTTCCTGTGTTGCCATTCATACTGCTGCCTATCTTTTTTTTAAATGTTCGTTTTCTGTCCACAATTAAAATACAAAAGAAGATGGATCAGTGAGTGCCAGTGTTTTGTTTGTTCGTTTAGTCTTTATCGCAACTGTGCACCCAACATTATCTTGAGATTTTGAGTTGTGCTTACTGTTTCTAAGTAATAGTTACTGCAGCTTTCAATGGAAGTGCACTAATTCATATACATGGGGGGAATTTGGTTGAAAATGTCTAATTAGATTCTTTATTAAAGCAGAAAGCACACGCCACAGGACAGACTCCAAAGTGCTGGAGATTGTGCGGGATCCAGGATGCAAATCACTAGCATATATATTGGGAGTGCCCTGTAATAAGACAATTTGGCTGAGATGCCGCTCCCCACAATAGAAGAATGGACAGATATAGTTAATGAAATATATACATAATGGAGAAAATTACTGCCTGGTCTCCTAACCAACTTAAAAAAGAAGGTCTTAAGTCATGCTGTTTAAACTGCTGTAAGCCCATAATACTTTTTGTATCTGCAAGTATATATATATATATGCTGTATTTTTTTTCCGGGTAATTGGTTGTCTGCTTGCAATTAACCCTTTAAAAAGCATAAAATTCATTATTCACAATGGTCAGACATAATAAAGTGGCGTACCTGTACCAAGAGAGACCACTATACCCAACTTCTTGACTTCGTTTCCATGGCCCTGAGATGGAGGAGGAATAAGAGGGGATAAAAAAGAGGAGACGGATAATTAAATGATCGAATTAAACATAAATGCTTTCATATGCAAAGACCAAGGACAAAGCAAAAACAGCCTACCTCTACTTTTAAAGCTTTATTGTACTGATGGATTTCTGACATGGCGTCTAATGTCGGGTTATTGGCCAGTAGCCCTCCATCCAGAAAGCGGCCCATTGGTCGGAAGTAGGTGGGGGCAGCGCCGCTGGAGCGGGCAGCTCGCCACACAAGTTGTTCTGGTGTAAAGACAAGGATATGAATATTTTAAAAAAGGCATGAAAGAATTAGGCAGGCTTTAAGATACAAATTTACAGAGAAAGATTGTTAACCTCGCAAAACACACATTCATCCGTGTTGAAAAAGGCAAAGACATGTTATTTGCTGCTGTCCTATTACAGTTAAAAAACAACATGTATTTGATATGGAATCACATTCAATGGGAAAAGTTGGACATTTTGGGAAATATGATTATTGGCTTTCTTGCTGAGAGTCAGATAATTAGACTGTTACCACTCTGATGTCTGCATGGTAAGTATGAAGCGACTAGCAGCAGGCTAACGTAGCTTAGCATAATGACACGAAACAGTGAAAAACATGCTGTGTCTGAAAACAACAAAATCCGTCAACCAACACCTCTCAAGCTCACTAATTAACAAAGGGTCCAAGTGCTCATTGAAACATTTGAGTTTTTAAGGTGTTGCCCCAAAACTGTGACAGATAAATTCTTTGTGAACCTGTTCCTTTCACACGCCTGTAGTCTCTCACTCACGCCGACACACACCTTCATCCGTCACCTTCCTACGTTTTCTGGGTGGCTCCTCTGTGTATCCTACTATCAATACATCCTCATCCTCCCATCCTGCAACAACAACATGGCTGGCACTCAAACAACACAGCAGAGGTGGACTTCAGAAACAGGATGACATGCAAGTTCAGAAATAGGTTTTTGCACTCCCCCAGCGCATCACTTTACAGGTTTCATTTCCTGAATGAACTGAGTCTTTCTTTGTCACTTCTTTACTCACCCCAGAATTTATAGCCACCAAGTGCAGGGTTTGCTTACTTTGACACCATTCAGTGGTAGTATCATGCAGTGCACTACTTCTCCAGTACAACACCAGTGAGCACTTGCAAACAAACATAACGGGTTCAAGTTGTTGAGGTACCTTGTGGGGTGGTGAGGGGCTTGAACGTGGCAGTGGTGGCATATGGTGGCTCTCTGTGGACGGAGGGAGGGTCATAGTTCCTGAAGATGTGCAGCTCACCTGGATGTCTGTCTGCTAGAACGCTGGTCACCATCACCCTGTGCAGGAACAAATAAATGAGTGCAAAGAGAAAATAACATGTTTGAGAAAAATACAGGCAGGTGCTGCAGCATTTATGTATTTCACTAAATGTAACAAAAAATAGTTCATTTTCAAACTCTGGTTACTATTTTAAGAAGAAAAGTTTCAGTGGTTTCAGAGCATTGGCACACATTTTTAAGACTTAAGTCATATTTCCCAGAGTATTGAGGCTTGTTGGAGTGCCACAATCCAGCACTCCAGTGTGAAATCAGCTCAACTTATTAACTTGTTCACTTGACAAAGTAATTTTTCTTAAACTGACCAATCACAGCAAAGGAGTAGGATATTTAAAGCTTGTTGATGTCATTTTTACCAACAGCAGACACCCAGGACACACAAATTACCAGAGGAAAGAAATAAATATTATTTTATGGGAACTCATTGGCTGAGTCTTCTGGGAAAATTCTTTGAGTATGCTTTTTAAATTTGCATATTTTTGTGTGGTATCATAGTACTGTCTTACACTATTTAGCTAGCTAACATTAGAGCACTTTAACATTTGCTAGTGAGTATGTCTGTGGAGACATTTTCATTCCTAGTGCTCCTGTGCAAGGCCTCCATGAACAGCGGTGGCCTTTAATGCCAATTTGACATAGTGGACAAACAGTGGAATTATAACTTCCA